TGGCCAAAGAGCATGGAGTTGTTCGGCTTCCTGATTGGCCAGGAAGCCAGCTCCATGTTGTCTCATGGCGCTACTAGGCAGAGGAAATCGCCCTCTGACCAGAAGTTACGGTATCGGGGGTAAGTATCAGAGCATTTGGGTGAGTACAAGTACTCAGCCAAATACTCGGTGTTGGCACCGCTACTGATACTAGTATCAGTATCTGTGCATCCCTGGATAATACTTTGGCAATATTCTGTGCATTTAGGAATACATTCAGATTTTTTTTTTTTAAACAGTTAACTGAGCTAAATACAATTAGCTCCTGTGTCTATTCCTGTCCTGTCTATTCCACATTTTTACAGCTGCAACTGTGAAGAAGCCTTTGCATATGCAAAAGTTGAACCTCTTTTCCACCAGATGCAAAGAGGAAAAGATGCCCCCTTGCCCTTTGCAGTGGTCTTAAAGTGAATATTTTTGTACTAAGCTCACTATATGGACCATTTATGTATTTAACCACTTGATGACCGGGGTGTTTGTTCCTGTCCAGGCCATTTTTCAGTATTCAGCGCTGCAGCACTTTGACTGACATTTATTCCGTCATGCAACGCTGTGCTGAAATTAAGTTTATACCATTTTTTTGGGATAGATAGAGCTTTCTTTTGGTGGTATTTAATCACTACTACAGGTTGTTTTTTTTACTATATAATGAAAAAAGTACCGAAACTTTTGAAAAAAAACCTGTTCTCCCTACGTTATGTTATACAACATTTATTATTACCCAATTTTATAGTAAAATATAAAAGACAGGGTCACGTCGGGTAAATAGACACCAAACATGTCAAGCTTTAAAATTGCGCGCACCCGCTAAATCGCAAAAAACTACCATACGAAAAATTGATCATAGCCGACGCTTTAAAAGCTTTTACCGCTCATCAGTTAGTGTGATCAGTGATTACTGGCCCTAGAATTATTGCTCTCACTGCAATGTTCGCGGCGATATTAACATGTGCGGCACAATGGATGTAATCATCGTTTTCGCACGTAGGCGGACTCGACGCATGTTTGCATGTGGGGGCTGGGGACTTTAATTTTAAAAAAAAATTTTTATTGCTTTGATATGTGACTTTTCATTTTAAAATGTTTTTTTGTAACTTTCATTTTTTTAAACCTTTTTTTCACTTAACTTTATTGCTATCACATAGGGAGCAAACAAGCTCCCTATGTAATAGCCAATTTGCAGTGACAGGTCCTCTTTATGGAGACATCAGGGGTCTTTAAGACCCCTAATGTCACCTAGGGACCCCCAGTGAAGCTGATGAAGCAGGGACCTGCTTCACCAGCTTCTCTCCGGTTTCTGTACCGGAGATTGACAGAGGAATGCGGAAGTGATGTAATACACATCACTTCCTGCATTCAGTCGAGGAGGAGGAGATCAAACGGAGATTGTGTACTGATCTCCGTTTGATCTCAGGCAGCAGAGCTGCTGTGCTGGTCCTGGGCTTACACCGGAAACAGCGGAGCTCGGGATCGCCAGCAGCGGCTGCGACGGAGGGGGGGCGCACACCCACACGCATATTACAAGCGATCGGGCGTCTCTACAGACGCCTGAACGCTTGTATGTAAACAGCTATCGATGGCTGTTTACATTGCAGGCTGATTTCCCGCTCGTGCGTGCCGCCTAGCGGCGGGCACGAGCGGGGCGCCCACCCGCTCGTGCCC